TCATGAATGCAGGGTGTCTCTCCATTTATTTAGGTCTTCTTTAATTTCTTTCAGCAACCTCTAAACCTTTCTTGAGCCTGTTTGTGGCTATGACTTACATAAACTCTCAGGATAATGACAGCCATAGGTTTCCCTTCCTCGCTACACAGATTAGTGTTAAAGCCAAGAGAAGATGCTGTCTCTTTCCATTTTTGCAGGCCCCCTTCATTTCAGTATTTTCAATTTTGGTAAGCAAATCCCAGTATGGGCTACCGATTGCTTTCATGATTTCCTTGATATTATCAATACATACACGACCTCTGAGTCACCATCTCCATAGATTAAAAATTCTCACACTTTTTGGTGTCTCCTTACACCAAGTTTTATCAATTGCCCTTCTCCTAGTTTCTGTTATATTTCTGACCCAATAAGCCAACTTAAATCCAACCAAGTTGTGTTCTGCTCAACCTGTGTTAACATTTGGGTGAGACAGAACAAAATGTCCAGTGTATTGAAGAAGAAAACCATAATCCCTCATTCCCTGAGACCTATTCAAAAATTGAATGAATTCAAAAATGAAGTGTTGACCATATATCCAGGTGCCGTGGCAAGAGGTAGTGGGAACACATAGCCTTGACCCCTGGGGTGTCACAGGGTGAAGAGCCACAGAACAAGTGGGGAAACCCAAGGAAGCAGAGAGGATTTCCAGCTGGGGGTTTAGGGGAGACCCCACGGTGGAGGAACCATCCTAACTGGGGCATCAGGGGAGGGGGGGCGCTTAGACTCAGAATTAATTGAATGCTATCAGAAAGCAGAGCTGAATCTTCATGAACAGCAGGAGGAGTGTGAAACTTCTGAAAATGAATGCTAAATTTTAGATGTATTAGGATATGTGCATTTTTATGGGGGAAAAAAATCCATGGTTTTCATTAGATTCTCAAAAACGTAGGTCAGGCTCAAGAAAGATCCTAATGAGGGCTCATTTCACACTTGCTGCCAGAAAGCTTGGCGTGGGTGTGGGGACTTATGTATATGGGTCAGAGGTTAATGCATCCAGTGGCACCTAACCTAGATTCAAGGTGCCTTCAACGTCCTAAAATTGTGTCTTTGTTTTATGTTTTTATTTGTGTGCATTTTCGGGAAACGGTCAGAAGTCACGACCGTAATAACTAAACACTGGGGGCTCTTAGAAGGCAGATTCTCCCAGCGAGGAGACACGATGGATGCAACCGCAGAGCGAGAGGCAGACGAGTGGGCAGACCCGGGCAGGACCCGGGTAGGAGGCTTTAGGTATCAGGGAGCTGGACTAAGGTCCTGGGCTGCAGAGGGACCAGGAGGAGAAAGCCAGAATTTGAGAGACGGACAAAAGAAAAAGAATTCAAATCGGGGAGATTTGGATTCAACTTTCAAAGCTCAGGGCAAAAGCTTCCTTCTGATGGGCCTTGTCTGAAGCCCAACCTTGATGACGATCGCCTGACCCTCAGCCCCAGAGCCTCTTCCAGGGGCTCCTGAGAGCACCAGCCTCCCACTTCCTGGGCTCTCCCTCCCCCCACCTGGAGCAGCTTTGGGCCCAGAGAGGGTCTGACACATAACAGATACTCTGAGTGGCTGCACCTGGCCCCCCAGCACTCCCAAAGGCCGAGGACCCTCTCATTCTCAGAAGGGGACCCTCTGGAGGACTGGGCTGTCACACGGATCACATGGACTACGGCGCTGACACCCTCCTCTGTGAGTGTATTCGAGAGCTAAGCGGTGCCAAACGTCCCCCCCCACCGTGACTTTGGCCATGACGACACCCAGTCAGAGCTCTCCGGAGCTGGGATCACCCTGACCTTCCAAACGCAGAAGCTCAAACTCTTGCCGCTCTCAGCTCTGCATTGTGATGGGCCTGGGAGAGTGGGGAGCCTGCCACTTGACCCTGTGTCCTATTTCCAAAGCAGGTGGCGGGACTGTCGGCAGGGCAGGGTCAGAGGAAGCCCTGACAGTGAGTTCAAAACACTCGCTTTGTGTCCTGGCTGAGAGTTCCCTTTTTGCAGTCACAAGGGGCCCTGTGAATGTGGCAGGAGGAACTGCAGGGGTGGGAGCTGACCCGAGCCCGCGGAGGGAAGGAGAGCCTCCGACCCCTGCCCCCTGACAGCACACGGGCTGGTCCGGGGCACAAGGGCACACAGCCTTGACCTCTGCCTGCCCAGAGAACCAGCTGTTTCTATTTCGACCAGCTTGGTCGAAGAATATGACAATTCACTCCTGACCAGCAGCATTCCACCAAAATCATAAAACAAACATGCCATCGCGTTTTCCCAGGGACGAGCCACTCGCTTGTTTTTTCTGCCCCTCTTCCTGGGACGCATCTGTTGGCTGCTGACTCACCCTGCAGGTGACGTGCTGCCCACCCCACGTGTGTGAGCTCCTCGGCCACTTGCAGCCTGTGTTTCCCCCGTGAGTCAGGGAGAATTGCGACATTCCTGAGCAGATGTTACGGAGGTGACGCGGTGGCCACGGGGTGGGTACCGAGGATGAGATCCGAATCTTGGAAGGGGAGAATTCACACTCAGGTTTATTTTGAATCAGCTGAGTCATGGCCACTGCTCAGCTGTTGACACCAACAGCAAACCTCGACCCTGGGGGCTTTGTCTGGGGAAAATTCGAAGTTCCTAGAAAATGTGATTTCTAGTAGAACTAGATCGTTTTATTTTTCTGATGAAAACGTAAGTTTCTATAAAAATTTCAAGAGGTTTAAATGTAGAAAAATTAATTTTTCACTCCTGCTAAACAAACCGTGGTTCATATATTTAAACATTCGAAATCTACTTGCAAATTACAGTTTGCTCTAAATTCAGTACAGAAGGGAGGGGTGCGTACAGGAGAACAGGGAAGACCCTGGGGTGAGAGATCTCACAGCTCACGCAAAGTGTGATCTACGTATCTTCTTTTCCTGTCTACAATGACGTTGACATTTGCAGTTTGGTGGGTGAGTTGTTTGGTTTGGGGATAGAACCTCTTCCAGAAATCTCAAGGGAGTCAAATTGAGCATCTCTCTCTCTCTTTTTTTTTTAGGATTTATTTTATTACTTATTTAATTTATTTTGGGCTGTGTCGGGTCTTAGTTGCAGCGTGAGAGATCTTTCGTTGCAGCACACGGGCTCTTCATTGTGGCACACGGGCTTCTCTCTAGTTGTGGCGGTGGGTTTTCTCTCTCTAGTTGAGGCGTGCGAGCTCAGTAGTTGTGGCACATGGGCTTAGCTGCCCCGCAGCATGTTGGATCTTAGTTCCCTCCCCAGGGATCGAACCTGAGTCCCCTGCATTAGAAGGTGGATTCTTTACCACTGGACCACCAGGGAAGTCCCTGGGCATCTCTTGAGATGCTTTTCTGTTCCCTGAAGCATCTTTGCTTCTCCTGGCTTGCGGGGGAGCTGGGGTGGTGGGGAGGTCCTCAGCCATGCTGAGTCCTCTCGAGTCCTGGGTGGCCGGGTTGTGCCGTCCGTGCGGCGTGAAGGGTCTGTGGGGACAGCTGGAGTGGATTTCCTAAGCTCTGCCTGGTGCAGGGGGCTCCTCAGATGTGAGTTGAGGCGGAAGGTGGGCTCACTTTGGGCTGTGCGCCCATCCAATGCCCAGGCAGGGGGGCCCCACTGGGGACCAAGACCCCCACAGCCCGCCCCTCCTGGGGGCGGCCTGGGGGAGCTTGAGCCGCACCAGCAGGTGGAGGAGTCGGACGGCAGAGAAGCAGGTGGACCGCCTCCTGTCTCCATCTGTCCTTAGACCTCCCAGCCTGGTGGAGGCCTCACCGCCTCCTTCAGACGAGGCCCGAGCCATAGCCCCTCCTCTCTGACTCCTCAGATGGACGAATCCTCACACCCTCTGTCTCCCAGTCACTTATTTAACCCTTCGTTCTGCCGATATGTCTCTTCCCTCCTCCCCCAAAACGGATGTGACTTTAACACATGTTGCAGCGGGGAGTGGGGGGCTGTTTAGGGCATGAGGGGAACATGAGGCAGAATCACCCACGGCTTCTACAAGACCCACCCGCAAACCCAGGTCTACGTCCCCAGCAAAACCCTTCCCAGACCCCTTTATGCAATCCTTCCCCTGAAGGCCCTGGCCTCCCCTCTTAGCCTGGACCCTCCCTAGAAGACAGCTTGTGAAGCCTCCGCCCTGGACAACATTCCACACCCGCCAGCCCGCCCTCGCTGCTAAGTTTTTATTCCATGATGCCCCTGGATGGTCACCGGAAGCCAGACAGCAGAAGCGGCGGAAGGCCTCATCACAGCCTCGGCCTTGTCTCCTGCCGGGACCCATGTCCCCTGTGCCCTCCGTCCTGCTCTCTCTCCGTCCAGCTTCCCACTTCTTTCTGCCTCTCCCTCCCCTCCTCCCTTCCCTTCCTTCCCTCTTTCTTCTTCCCTTCCAGCATCCCTTTCTCAGCCTTGACCCACCCTAGGACCCAGAGCCTGAAGAGTCCCGAGAGCTGCAGCCCTTATCCCTCAGGAGCTCCCCGGGCTCCTTTCTTTCTCCCAGATGCCCAGGGCTGCTTCTCTGGCTTTGGTGAATCGAGGACCACTTATTCTGAGCTTTGTGATTCGCCTGCTCCAGCCGGGATATAACAGAGGTACTTGGCCTCTGCCTCTAGTACCTGGGGGCATCACCCCAGCTCCTTCCCCCATCCCGGGGGAACATCCTCTGATCCCCCCCCCCCCCCAGCACCTCCCTCCCTGGAGCCCGCTGGACCATGATGGCGGCCCGGCCTGGCCCCCGTCCCACATATACGCCTGGAATTTCCAAAGCCCCTCAGACTAGGTGGCTTCCTTCCCAACACAAGGATGCTTCCCTGCAGCGTTCTGTCACATAAATTCTTCCAAGAATTCGTTGCCAGGGAAAAAAAAAGTTCCCTGAAGAACTGGTATGTTTTCCTTTATTAGACAATAAGGGCCGCATACCATCCTGTTTTCCTTTCTTTTTCCCTTTCCTTACCAGGAGGTTCAGAGCTGCACTCGTGCTGATTACTGATGCAATCATCAACCCCTTTGCAGTTCTCTTCCCGCTGCCATTGGTCTAGTCTATTTTTGGACCTGTGTCCCCGTGTGCTCACCGTGAGTTCCCCCATTCTGGGGCAACAAGAAGGAGAAGGTGGTAAAGGGGGAATTTTGGTCTCTTAAGTGGGTGGAGGGGATCTTGGCAAAGAGAGAAGTCGGTGACTGTCAGATCAACGCCGGCGAGTACAGCCACCCCTGGAGGTGGCTCTTAACCCATCCCTGGGAAAATCTTCATCCCAGTGGGTCCGGGTGGAGTCTGCAGTGAATGCTGACAGATTCCCCTCACCAGGCCCCAGAATCAACGGTTTGGAGGTACTTCTGCAACTTCCTCCTGTCTTCCCAGACTTCTAAACAGAACAATAAACAGGACAGAAACTTGCAGTCAGCAGGGAACGATTGCTTTTGGGGAAGGAAACTCAGCCTCTCCTCAAGCCCCAAGGCAGACCAAGGGCTCTTTCTCCCCTTGGGGAGAAAGGCTGCTTCCCGTCAGCTTTGATTATTTTCTTCAGCAGGACTGCGTGCAGTTACAGTGGAAGCTTCACCCCAAATGATAACTGGACGTGAAAACCCCTCTATCTGGGCTTATTCATCTGCACACCCCAAGGAAACTGGAGATGTAAAATCATTTTAAAGTTAAGTGTAAGTATGGCATTAGAGCCACTAACAGAACCAGAAAAGGGCTTCAAGTAAAGTGCAAAGTTTACGACCTGAACCTGTGGCCCCCACCAGCTCCATCACATCTGAGACGGACAGACATGCTTCAGGTCTCCAGACATCACGCCATCTCACTGATTTGTTGGGTAAGAGTGTGCGTTGGGTAAAGAGTCATCCTTAATTCCAGACTTGGCTTCGAACTGCTCATAGGATTAAAGCCTCCATTGTCTGCAGCCCTGATCCTCAACCGCAGCATCTGCCAGTCGGCCCACTGTCAGCTACACGGAAGGACAGGCCCAGTGTCTGGTCACCAAATGGACCAGCATCTCAAACAATCTTATAAATAAACACGGGGGATAAGGCTTAGCGTGCACACGTTTGCTGAGCGCGGGATCTCTCGGCCGGGAGGTGATGGTGCACCCCCACCCTCCCCACCTCCTCTACCCCGATCAGTGGCTGGAAAGCTTTGAAAGGTGCAAGAGGCGACCCATCAGGAGCGCCCTGGATGCCATCGCCCCACCCAGGAGAGAGCTCCAGGCACAGGGGATAGGCTGAGAATTGACTCGTGCCCGGCTTTCGCTTGTCTGCCTTTCTGGCGCAAATCAGGAACAGAATTTGGGAGGAGGCCTGCCTCTTCCCGGACTGCCCTGCCACCCTTAGTCCTTTGGCCCCTGCCCTGAATTCTTTTCAGATCCTTGCAGAGGCCAGGCTCTGGCCCGTGCCCCAGCTGGGTCTCATTTCCTCCACCTTGGCCTGTGGATTAGTCAGGGGTCAGCAGAGGAACAGAACCAACAGGACATACAGAGACATATACAAGAGGAGATTTAGTCTACGGATTGGCTCACATGTTACAGAGGTTGAAAAGTCCCGTGACCAGTTGTCCACCAGCTGAAGGACCAAGAGAGCTGGCAGCGTAATTCGGCCCGAGTCCAAAGGCCTGAGAAGTGGGGGGCGGGGTTGATGGTTAAGTCCTGATCTGAGTTTGAAAGGCAGAGAACCATGAGTGATGTCTGCAGGCAGCAGAAGACGGATGTCTCAGCTCAAGCAGAGAGAGAGTGAGTTCACCCTTCCTCTGGCTTCTTGTTCTTTTCGGGTGCCTTGGGGTGGGGGGATGATGCCACCCACGCTGGAGAGGACCTCTGCTTTACTCAGTCTACTGGTTCAAACGCTAGTCTCTTCTGGAAACACCCTAACAGTCATCCCCAGAGATGTTTCGCCTGCTATCTGGGCGTCCCCTAGCCCAGTCACACTGCTGCATCAGATTAACACCACAGCCTATCTCCTCCTTCCTTCCTCCCGTCCCAGGCTGCAGGGCTTCTCCTGTCCCCCCAGGACTATGTTAGGGCCCCCTCAGTGCTCCCATGGTCTCTGTCCTCCCCACCCCCATCGCTGTGGTGTGGTTCTCCCCTTGTGGGTCTCCCCTGGGTAGGGCCGAGTCAGTCTGAGCCACTGATACATCCCTGGTGCCCCTTAGAGGGTCTGGCAATAGTGGACTCTCAAAAGTAATGCATGAAAGAATCTTTGTTTACTGAATACGGGCCTCCGACTGGACAGAGTCAATAGTTCACTTCGGAGCAGCTGGCAGGCAGAGTCCAGCGCCCCGGGGAGGGTGGGTCCTCCAAATCCAGGGAGCTGCCATCAGTTCTAACACTTGGGACTCTTGGGGCGGGGGTGGGGGTCTGTTTCCGTGAAGCAGCTGGGGTTCTAGGAAAACTAGAAACATGCGGATGGAATGTGATGGGCTCATTCATTTTCCAGGTTGGAGTTGCCCAGGCAACTGGACAGATATTCTGCCGCCTCCACAAAGGCAGAAGCTCCAGGCATCCCGACTCTGCAGTCTCTGTGGACCTCTAGGATTTGGCCCCCTGTTTCCCAGCACCCAGCACAGTGCTTGACCCGGGATACCTGCTCAACAACGGTTGGCTGAATGAGTGTAGGAAGAAAAGAATGGGTTGACGGACAAAGGCATTTTTTCTTGGAAAACGTAGCCCCAGCTGTGTATCTGGAGACCTTTATACTTAAATTGGAAGAAAACAACCCCAAAACCTCTTTTTAAATATATTCAAAGATAATTTCCCACGTCCAGTGTTTACTATCCCACATGAATACATGGAAACACTGTACAGCATCTTCACTTAAATGCCCATGAGGATGAGAAGGGTCCACGTGACGAAACACCTACCACCCGGCCATGAAAATGAGCCACACCCACGGGTAGCAACAAAGACAGAATCCACAACATGGAGAGAAGAAAGAGGACAGCAGAATCCCTCCATTTATGTTAATGTGTAAAACCTAGTAATGGGGGTGGACGGTGGGGCATCCAACCGCATCTTCTTTAAAAAGATCTGAAGCCAATATAATAAAATGCTCTCATCTACTGTGTGTTAAATGTTGTCACTGTTAAATCACTATTCATGTATTTTTATATTGCTCTCTGAAGTTCTTTGTATATTTGAAAGGTCCGTAATTTTTGGAAGCAACACTCTTCTCGATTTATCAGAAATCATTTAAGAACCAAGTGGTTTCTTCGTTTAGCCTTTGCTCTGGAACCGAGCAGAGTTATTTAGTTATTTTATTTGGATCGTGCAAAAATCACCCTCGGGAACAAGGATTTTTTTCTTTGAATTAAATTCTCCCAGTTTCCTGACTCCCCAAATCAGCCTCCCCCTAACCAATCAGGCTTCCCCTTAACCAATGCAAGTCCTTAATGGAACACAACAGTCTCCCCTGCTGTGAATACCCCACCTCTCACTCCTCCTTGGTCCTCCCCCTTGTCTCCTACTCAGCCTTCCTCAGACATCTGGGGTCCCCCATGGCCATTTCCACATCAACAAACAATCGTTCACTTAATGATAACAATCGAGATATCTACACACTAGAAGCGATGGTTTTTAAATTTCAAGATGCATCAGAATCACCTAGAGCTTGTTAAAACAGATTCCCAGGCTCTACCCCCAGAACTTCTGATTCAGCAGGTCTGGGATAGAACCTGAGAACTTGCATTTCTAACAAGGTCTCGGGTGATGCTGACACTGCTAGTCTGGGTACCACACTCTGAGAAACGCTGTACTGGAGCATGCTGGAATCACATCTCTGTCTCACTCTGTGCTGCACATGCTAATAAGAGTGAATGACACGTCTCCTGTGAACGGGTCCGTCCCTTCCTGGTGCCCTCTGCCCCCAAATTTCATCATCACGACCATATCTGGCATCGATCTTTATCTTCATCCTTCTCAGCACAGAACAGATCTAATCCTGTTTATTTCCACTTAGCCTGGACCAAGCCAACTCTCAACCAGAAGAGAACATTCGAAACTAAGTAAACATTATGGTGTGAAGAATGAAGAGAAGAATGGGAAAGGAGATGAAAGGCCAAAGAAATGATAAGAAAGGAAAGAAGGAGAAAAACAAGGCCAGAGATTGGGAAATAGAAGGAAGTTGATGTTTTCCATTCCCACTGATGGTGGCCCTGGAGCTAGCAGATGTCCCTCTTCTCAGCCAGCAGAGAAAGAGCAGAGGGGCTGTTTTTCATTCCTGTCTGCAAATAATCACCTCTAACAACAATAAGAAACTGTCAGCATCAGAGAAGGAGAGCTTATGACAGGCAGGAATTCCCCCTTTTGAAAACTCGCAAATACAGAGGTCTGTTGTCACTGTCTTTTGTGAAGCCTTCAGATGTCCTCAGGACCTGCCCACCTTCTCCTGGAGGCCCACAGTCCCTGAGTCAGCCCCACAGCAACCTGGGCCCACAGGGCCTGTCCCCGCAACAGCCCACATCCAGACACCCACGGACGCAGGATGAGAAAGTGAGTTGACATTTTCCACTCTCAGGGGCTTTGGGCTTAAACACATCCATCCTTGAGTTGGGAAACGTATCCGTGGCAAACAGTACAAGGTGGGCGTGGAGGAGATGGGTGGGGCGGGGGGTGGGGCTTGGGCCTTTACCAAGGTCAACGCTGGGAGAGGGGGAGGGAGGAGCCATCCATTCCAGAATTCCCCTCCCTCCCAAGTGCATGGGAACCCCCGGGACCGCTCCCCCAGATTCTCAGGTGCAGTCGGCCAACCCTGCGTATTCGCGAATACGGAACTTGTGGATACGGAGGGCCGACTGCACTATGCCATTTAATATAAAGGATTGGAGCATCCCCATATTTTTGTATCCACAGGGGGCGGGGGGGGGCGGTCCTGGGAATAATGCCCTTCGGATACCAAGGGACCACTCTGATCGGCCTGGAGTGGAGTCTGGTTGCCAAAAATGTCCACAGGTGACCCTAAAAGGCAGACTTGAGTCTCACGGCTCTAGAGTTGAGTCCAGCCCATCACCCTCCCCCTGTAGGAGAGGAAACTGAGTCTCAGAGAGGCTAAGTGACCTACCTCAGGTCACATAACAAGTTAGGAGCAGAAGAAGGGTGAGAACTCCGATGTCCTGACGAATGTCCGCAAGTGGGGAGAAAATGTCTTCTACGAGCTGGAGGTTAGAGCTAGGCAGCCATCCTCTCCCACGTCAGCTTCCACCGGGAGGACTGCCCCCAACAGTCACCTAGGGACACCTAGGGAATAAACCTCAGAGCTAGACAGGAACAGAATCCAGGTCTCCTGTGTACATTTCCCTGTGGGGCTCTGTCCACATGCTGCTGAAAGGAGCCCGGAATGTTCCTATCCTGTCAACTGGGCTCCTGGGAGGCCTGATGCCTTCAGGCTGCTGGCTGTTGAGCCCTCTGCAGGAAGTTACACTGTGTTTGGCCGGTGCCTGGGACACGGGATTCCTCCCTTGTGTATCTTTTATTTTTTTTTTAAACATCTTTATTGGAGTATACCTCTTGTATCTTTTTTTCTTTTTTCTTTTTGGCAGCCCCATGCAGCTTGCGGGATCTTAGTTCCCCGACCAGGAATTGAACCCGTGCCCCTGGCAATGAAAGCACGGAGTCCTAACCACTGGACCCCCAGGGAATTCCCACCTCATGTTATCTTCACCCCTCAGAGGGAGCGTGTGTGTCACTTTAGATGGTGGCATGGAAAAATGACACGGGGGGCATTAGCAAGAGTAGGAAATGAATCAGAAACAGAAAAATAGTGCAGGGCAACTGTGGTTTACTGAGTGTCCTCCCTGTCAGGCACTGAGCTTTTAGCATATGATCCCGGACAACCCGTGAAAACCCTCTGGCACGCAGCCCACTAGACAGACGTGGCCATGAGCCAGTGCAGGCACTGCTGGGGAGAGACTGTGACAGCGTTGGGGAGATGGGAGCTGGAAGGCCAGGCCTTACTTGCATTTGCTTTGCTGAACACACCAAGCCAGACCTGGACCAAAGCAGGCTGGGAAACTCCCAAGATGCCGGAGAACAAGGCAGGTTTTCCAAAAGGAGGAGACACCATTGCCCCCATTTTGCAGGATGACCCTCAGAGCTTAGAAAAGAGCAAACTGAGGTGACTGGGCACAATGTCCTGGGTGTCTGACTGTCCACTCTGAGCAACCCCAGGACCTGGAAAGAAAAGGAAACTGTGAAGGCAGAACGCCAGCTGGTTGAAGCCCTACTTTTCTCATCTGTACACGGGCTGATGTAGGATTAGGTGAGAATAACACAACCCAGCTTCCTGGTCTGGCGCTCAGCACGCAGCGAGCGGTCCACAGACAGTAGCTATTGCCATGGGTCCTGGTTTTAGTAGCTATTGCCATGGGTCCTGGTTTTATTATGAGCGTCTAGAGACTGCTTTTCCTTCCTTTAGTCTCTTAAACAATCATGCTAAACCCTAGAAACAGAAGCAGAAATGGAGTGGATGAGAGCTGGTCAGAATCCTGCAATGTCATTTTCATGAAAATGCAGCTGAATGTCATCCCCAGGACAGCTTCTCATCCGCATAAATGAGCTGATGCTACATCTCTGTCTTTTAAACACTTCACAGGTTCCACTGGAGCCTTCATAGGAGGGCCCACATGGCCTGTTACTAAGGACACCACCTACTCTGTTTTATTGAATGTCAGGATTAAGTGGCTGGAATCAGCGTGTGCCCCTCGGACGCCTCCCACAGGGTCAGTGTGGGGTGGCAGGAGAAAGTGCCCAGTTCATTCATCACCTGCTCATTCATTCATTCATTTACTGAACACCACCTCCGTACCAGGCACTGATTCAGGTGCTAGGAAGAATAACACGCTAGTGAGGGGAAGAGATTACAGACAAGAAACCGTCAGGGGCGCCGATGAAGGTTAGGCAGGGTGCAAGGCGGAGAGCAATGGTGTGGAATGGGAAGCCTGTCTGGAGAGTGACCGCTGAGAGCTAAGGGATCAGAGGACCAGGGACGCCTGGCTGAGCACTCCAGGCAGAGGGAGAGGCAGGGGCCCCCTCGTTAGTCAGCGTGGGTCTCAGCAATTAACTCACCAAATTTAACGTGGCCAGCCTGAATGCAGCGCACTATCCCAGCCCTCTAGGGTGGGCAGACCCTTGTCACGTTTATGGGGCCTTCGTTTTCTGTACCTCCTCCCCTTCCCTCCAGCTCTGCCCCGTCCCCCATGACACAAAGCAGAGGTGAGATAGGAAGCACTTGGGCCCAGGAGTGCCCCCCCTCCCAACGTTGGCTGCTCTGCTTGGAACCGTTAGAGAATGGGGAGTAGCCTTCTCTTTCCTCATCTGTAAAATGGGGACGATCCCTGCTTCACAGGGTTGTTCAGAGATTCACAGGAGACACAGCAGAGAAGACACTGTGGAAAATGTGAGGAGCCACCCAAGCCCAGCACAGCTGGAATCGGGGCAGCGCGGAAAACTGGCTGGTCTCTGTAACCTTTGCTGTCATGGCTCTTTCCTTTCAGATAGGAGGCATCCCTAAAGCTTCCTCCCATACTTTTCTTAAAACCTGTTGCATGCAACTCACAGAATTCAGAATCAAGGCTAATTCGTCTTCTCCTCTGCCAGTGAGGGCTCTGCTTTTAAGAGAAAATCAAACGTTAAGCCAAAGAAATGGCTCTCTAACAGCGGACATGGCAGCCGTCACCTGACAGATCCCCCGAGGGAATGTTTTCCAGGGGAAAGACTTCCCTGACTTTTATTTATTTATTTTAAATAATTTTTTAAAATTTATTTTTGGCTGCATTGGGTCTTCGTTGCTGCATGCGGGCTTTCTCTAGTTGCAGTAAGCAGGGGCTACTCTTCGTGGCGGTGCATGGGCTTCTCTTGTTGCGGAGCACGGGCTCTAGGCACATGGGCTTCAGTAGTTGTGGTGCGTGGGCTCAGTAGTTGTGGCTCATGGGCTTAGCTGCTCCACGGCATGTGGGATCTTCCCGGACCAGGGCTCGAACCCGTGTCCCCTGCATTGGCAGGTGGATTCTTAAGCACTGCGCCACCAGGGAAGTCCCTCCCTGGCTTTTAGAGCATCTCAGGCTGTCCCTGCCCATTCTACAGAGAGGCTCTCCATCCTCCCCTCCCTGACCCCAGCACCTGGTTGGGTGTTGGTTCAAAGCATCCCTTAGAGGCTGACCAGTAAAGGAGGGGACATTGGTTTGCCTTTGGCACCCTTCCCAGCCCTAGCCAGGGCTCCACCCATCAGACTCTCCCTTTTCTGTCTCTGCATCATGTGGTCACTGGATACCTAGCTGTTCCTACCGAGAGGCCAGGGTTTCCCAGAGGCCGGGTGGTACAGTGTTAGCTTGGGCAATAGATAGGCTCTACCTCCCTGAGCAAATGCTGCATCTGCCTCTTTTTCTCACCTGAGAAATTGGAAGAATGTCCCCTTGCCTTTTCGGGTGGTCAGCTACCCTCATCTCAGCATCACAGAGGCTGTTCTACGTGCTTCACACGCTAGTCATCGCTCCCAGCAAGCGACAAAGTGGATTCCACCACTATCCCTGCCTCACAGGCAGGGAGACGGGGCCCAGGGAGGATAAGAGGTGATTTGAACCGGTGGGATTTGAACCGGTGAGGTACACTTGCAGAAGCCAATATGCTCACACAGCCCTCACACAGCCCTCTGCAAGGCCGCTCAGGGACGCGCGTTTCTGGCTTGCCCGTCCACACAGCTGCCTCTCTCCTCCAGCGCACCCAGATGAGGCCGCCTGCGCCCATTCGCTCCTAGCAGGAGGCACAGCCAGCTCCCTGGGCCCTCCTAAGGAGGCTTCTGGAACCGGACTTTGATGGTAGGAAGATAAGAAAAGGAACCAAGGGGAGGAGGTGACAGCGAATTTTGGAGCAACGAGACTCGCTCTGTCCTCAAATCCCCGATGTGGGGTGGCTACCAGGTGTCCCCGGAGACCTGTGTTCTTACTGCTCAGCTGACAAGCCCCTTTCCCTCCTCGGCCTCGGCGCCCTCCTCTGCAAACCAGGGGTCTATGCTGGGTGTTCTCAAAGGCCCACCCACTCTAACATAACTTCAGCGTCCTACTGGGGAGGGGAGATGACGGACCTCACAAAGATGGTCTGTAAAAAATGTCCAGCTGGTTATACCAACACCTCTCACCCTGTGGATTGATAAGAGTAAGAGATTGGAAAGCCCTAAGATCTCATGAGGACATAAAGCAGCCTTTTTTTTGGTTTTGTTTTGTTTTTGTTTTTTTTTGCGGTACGCGGGCCTCTCACTGTTGTGGCCTCTCCCGTTGCGGAGCACAGGCTCCGGACGCGCAGGCTCAGCGGCCATGGCTCACGGGCCCAGCCGCTCCGCGGCATGTGGGATCTTCCCGGACCAGGGCACGAACCCACGTCCCCTGCATCAGCAGGTGGACTCTCAACCACTGCACCACCAGGGAAGCCCAAAGCAGCCTTTTCGTGTAGGGCCCTTTCTTTCACCAGATACACCTTCCAAAGTAGAGCCTCTTTTCTCATTTAAAAAGTGCCTGGATGATTTTAGCCACGTATCTCAGCAAAGATGCCTTAGTATCTTTAGGATCTCAGCAAAAGCTCTCTAGATGTTTCCAGAGAGAGGAAATTCCCAAAGAATTCTGTCCCCAATTCTATATGTCAGGGGGCATCAGCATGGGATGAAAAAAAATGGGTCACTAGGGCTTCCCCGGTGGCGCAGTGGTTGAGAGTCCGCCTGCCGACGCAGGGGACATGGGTTCGTGGCCCGGTTTGGGAAGATCCCACATGTCGCGGAGTGGCTGGGAGCCATGAGCCATGGCCGCTGGGCCTGTGCGTCCGGAGCCTGTGCTCCGCAACGGGAGAGGCGGCAATGGTGAGAGGCCCGCGTACCGCCAAAAAAAAAAAAAAAAGGGGGTCACTAGTGAGCTGTACAGTGACAAGGGAGGGCTGACTGTGGCCCAGACTCCCTTGTCCCTGGTCATGGTGTCTGGTGAGCAGATGGGCGGAGCGGCCCAAGGCCTGAGAGTCTGGAGGCGGGGACTCCATGGACTCAGTGAAGCAGACGGGCCGAGAGGGGAGCAGGCCACTGTGTCAAAAGGGGCCTGGCCTGTCTGTGGATGGGAGACATCAGGACACTTTGTGTAGACTGTCTATAAGTAAGTCATTTGTGAACCCACTTACTTTTCTATTAATTTGTTTGCTTATCGGCTCAGAGGGAGAGACCAGCATCTTGGTTTCTCACGTTTTTGACCAGCATATAAAATACTCTTTGTGAGGCCATGAGGAGTTTTGTGGCTCTTTTCAACTTTGCAAATCCAAGTACATTCTTTTAAGTAAACTCTATTGAAGCGAAACACGCAGAGAGAAAAGTGCACGAATGATAAGCATAAGAGCTCGACAGATGTTCACAGTGTCCAAACCTATGAAATCACTGCCCAGTTCAAGAAACGGGACATTAGCTGCACCTCAGCACCCCTTGTGCCTCTTTCCAGTTACATCCCCACATAACTACCGTCTGGACTTCAATCGTCATCAGCTTTGTCTGTTCTTGAACCTGGTGTACGTAGAACCATTCAACCCTCTTGGTTGTCTTGGTTCTCTCACTGGGCGTGGAGATCTCAGTTCTGTGTTACCGTGTGCTGCATTCCATTGTTCAGTTTCACTGTTAAGGACGCCACAGTATATTAATCCATTCCACTGTTGTTTCCAGTCTTTGGCTACTATAACTGGATGGTTACGAGCAGCTCTGTACATGCCTTCAGTGTTAATAAGTACGTGTTTCAGTTGGGTGTATACAGAGGGGTAGAAATGCTGAGCCATGGGGGTATTACAACACTCAGCACTCAATACTGCCAAACAGTTTTCCAGAGTGATGGTTCCACTTCACGCCCCCACTAGCCAGTGGATGGCAGGTGTATTTGCCCCATATCCTCGCCAGCACTTAGGTTATTAGTCTGTTCATTTTCAGCCACTCTGGCAGGCGTGTAGATGTGTCTCCTTGGGATTTCACTGTGCACTCTGCTTCTCATGTTTACTGGTAAACTATATCCCTTCTTTGTGAAGTGCCTATCCAAGTCTTTGGCTCATTTTTTTCTATTGGGTTATTAATGATTTATGGAAATTTTTAATGTATTCTGGATACAAGTCTCTTATCAGTTTTATGATCTGCAAATATCTTCTCCCACTCTGTGGCTTGCCTTTTCACTCTCTTAATGGCTGCTTCTTGCAGTGTTTCCAGAGTTTATCATTGTCCCTAGCTGAGAGGAGAGAAGAGAGGAATGACTTTATGCTACCCTGTCTGGAGCACAAGTCCTTTCAATAACTTTTCAATGAAAGAATGCATTGACTGAAGCACTGATGAGTCCATCTTGAATACAATTCATTGACCTAAATATAGCCAGGCTATAAAAAGGAAACAAATCCCAGACTCTTAGAATTGGTAGGCTCTTAGGCTGTAGCCTACCGTCCTTCACAAAGGAGACCTTTCCATAGAGCGCCCACCCCTCACATATGGACCTCCACCATACCATGGGATTGTGGGAATTATTCAACTAGTGGCCTCTTTGTTGCACTCTGGGCAGAGATATTCAAGGAAAACTTCATGGATCCATCGTACAGAGCTAGGGAGAAAGAAGCAGAGTAGCCAATTTTAATTTCTGTAACTAGTATATTTCAGGACAATGCATGAACACCCAGTAAAGACGAACGTTTATTGTGGATGAAAAGGGCACACGCGGAGAAGAGAGAAAGCAAAACAAGTGAGCTTTTCAAACATACAATTTCACTCCTTCTCAACTCAAAAAAGGAGGCAGAAACCTGCTGTCCAAAGCAGGAAACACCAGCTGACAAACTGCCCACTTGGCACCCGTGAGCCCCAGCTGGCCCTATGACCCCACTCCTATTTTAAGTCCATGACGTACAGTCAAGCTTTCCTTTTCTGCACCTGAAAGAATGACTTCAGTCCAGACTGAGTCCTTGCTAGAAGGGATGGAGTTATTTTTAGACCTGGGCCCGTAGTTGGCCTCAGTCTAATCACTGAATCCTTCAAGGGAATGGAAAGCTGACTTTCTGAGTAACACCCTACCTGGTGTCCTACTAGAGGGAACCTTATTTCTCAGACAGTTTGTTAGTTTGGAGCCAGTTGCCACCGCCAAGGATGACTCTTGGCTCTCCCACTGCACATCAAAGACTGCACTCTGAGCCTCCCACAACAGATTATACCCACCTTTCCAGTGGAAGTGAGCCCCAGGCCAAGCTGTTCTTTCCCTCACTGGCTTACTTTCTCTGGGAAGCATGAGAACACAGCCAGATCCTGGGGGTCCAAATCTGGATTCTACGGCTCACAAGCTGTGTCTTTGGGCAGATTACTTCTTGGGGACTAGTTTCCCAATCTACATAAATTAGACGAATAACTCATGGTTATAAGGATTAAGTGAAATGTTGTAAGCAAAAAGCAATCCATGGTGCTGGTGCTAGGGAGTGCTCAAAAATTTTTAGCTGCTGTTATTATCATTATCATTATTATTATTAAAGTGCTCAAAGCACTTTTATTTGTTGTTTCGTCCTGTCTTAACAAGAATCTTATGAGAGAGGGGTTATTGTCACCATGTTATAAATAAACCATTTATAACCATTCTGCAGTGAAGCTCAGAATGGATGTGTGAGTTGACAAGTCACAGGGCCACTGAGCAGGAGAATTGAGTTTTCTTGGCTCCAGTGACAGTCCTGGGGGCAGCACAGCAGACAGTGCAGGATCACCTACAACAGCAGCAAGTAGTAGTAATACCTGCAGCAAGTACACTGCTCAGTTGTCTGTACATTGCTCTCACTTAATACTCACAACGACTATAGGCTCTTGTTTCTGCCATAACCTCCATTTCAGATGAGGGGACCAAAGTTCAGAGAGGTCAAGGAAGGTGCCCAGGGGTACACAGCTGGGAATGGTGGAGTTGGGGTGTCCACCTGGTCTACCACGCCCAAGCTGTGCTCTCAGCCCCTGTGCTTCTGTCTGCTGCAGCAACACCCTCAGAACAAGTGGAAGCACGTGCTTGATCAATGCAGTCAGTGAAAGGAGGACAGCTTATTCTTCTATGTGGACAATCATGTTGCCTGCAACAAAAGATAGTTTTAGTTTTATTTCTTCTTTTCCAATTCGTATGACTTTTATTTCTTTTTCCTGCCTTATAGCAGTGGCTAGAACCTCCAGTACTGTATTAAATAAGAATGATGACAGCAAACATCCTTGCTTTATTCCAGAACTTAGAGTGAATGCACTAAGTCTTTCACCATTAAATACAAAGTTTGATGTAGGGTTTATGAGGATGAAATAGTTCCCCTCTGTTCCTAGTGTACTGAGAGGGGTTTTTTTTTTTTTCATCATTAATGGGTATCTAATTTTGTCAAATGATTTTTCTGCATCAATTGACATGATTATATGCTTTTTCTTCTTTGATCTGTTGATACGGTGGACTATATTGACTGATCAAATAGTGAATCTATCTTACATACCTGGCATTAATCCTTCTCGGTCATGGTGTCATGTTCTTTTATAACTTGCTGTATTTGATTAAAGTTGGTTGATAATTTTTCATCTAAGTGCTTGACAGATCTTGGTCTTTAGCTTTTCTTTTTTTTTTTTTTAACTGCCTCTGGTTGGTTTTGGTGTCAGAAATGATGACCACATAAAAAGAATCCCCTCTCCTATCTTCTGAAAGAGACTGTGTACAATTGGCAGTAATTGCTCTTTAATAACTGTTCGGTAAAATTTTCCAGGGAAAGCATCTGGGCCTGAAGATTATTTTGGGGGAGTATTTTAACTACATACTCAATTTCTTTCATAGTTACAGAGCTGAATAAATTATCTATTTAATCTTGGCTGAGTTTTGGCAGTTTGTGGTTTTTGAGGAATTGGCCCATTTCTTCTAAATTGTTGAATTTATAAGCATAAAATTGTTTGTCATATTTTCCTATTATCATTTTAATGGCTACAGAATTTGTTGTGGTATCTCATTTCATTCCTGATACTGGTGATTTGTGTCTTCTCTCTTTTTTTTATCGTTGCCAATCTTGCTAGAGGTTATTAATTTTACTGATGTTTTTCTGAAGACCATCTTTATGTTCCCATTATTTTTTCTATTATTTTCCAGCTTTCAGTTTTATTGATGTTCTCTCCTTAGTATTTCCTTCCTTTCGTTTGCTTTGAGTTTAGTTTGCTCTTTTTAAATTTTTTGAAGTCAGAACTTAGATTAGTTATTTGAGATACTGCTTTCCAATGTAAGCATTTAGCGCCATAAATTTCCCTTTCAGCATTGCTTTAGCTGCATCTCACAAATTTTAATATATTTATCTTCATTTTCTTTCTTTCTATGTACTTTTAAAATTGCCTTTGAGATCAACTCTTTCACCCATAAATTATTTAGTTTATTGTTGAGTTTCCAGGAGTTTGGAGATTTTCCTGGTTTTGATTTCTACTCTAATTCCATTATGGCCAGACTCTATATGATTTCGATTCTTTCGAATTTGTTAAAGTTTGGATGTGGTCTATCTTGGCAAATGTTCCATGGGCCCTTTAAACGCTGTTGCTGGACAGAGCATTTTATAAATGTCAATTAGATCCTTTCAGTTGATGGTATTGTTGAATTCTTCTATATTTTTTCTTTTCTATATTTTTGCTGATTTTCTCTTTAGTAGCCCTATAAGTCCTGAGTGGGAGGTGAATGGGGAATTTAAGCTCCCAACAACAGTAGTGGATTTATCTCGTTCTTCTTTCAGCTGTCTTAGTTTTTGTTTCCTATATTGTGAAATATGTTGTTGTTTGGTTCACAGGATGGCTGTATCTTCTTTGTGGATTAATCCTATATGTCAACATGTAATCTCCCTCTTTGCCCATGGTAACTTTCTTTGCTCTGAAGTCTACTTCGATGTTAACATAGCCCCTTCCTTTTGATTAATGCTTGCATGGTATATGTTTTTCCTTTCTTTTGCTTTCAGTCTACCTATGTCACTGAATTTGAAGTGGGTTTCTTGTAAATAACATCTAGTCGGGTCGTGCTTTTTGATCCATTCTGCCAATCTCTACCTTTTAATTGGTGTACTTAGACCATTTGTATTTAAGGTAATTACTGATCTATTAGGACTAAGTCTGACTTTTTTTTTTTTTTTGTGGTACGCAGGCCTCTCACTGTTGTGGCCTCTCCCGTTGCGGAGCACAGGCTCCTGACGTGCAGGCTCAGCGGCCATGGCTCACAGGCCCAGCCGCTCTGCGGCATGTGGGATCTTCCCGGACCGGGGCACGAACCCACGTCCCCTGCATTGTCAGGTGGACTCTCAGCCACTGCGCCACCTGGGAAGCCCCAAGTCTGACATTTTATTGTTTGTTTTCTGTTTGTTCCTTCTGTTTATCATTCTTCTGTTTCTTTTTTATTGACTTCCTCTGGGTTACTTGAACGTTTTTAGAGTTCTTTTTTGCTTTAATTATATTTTCAGTATATCTCTCCATACAGTTTTCTTAGTGATCATTTTGTATGGAGACTGTTGCTGGGAAACCTTTGAGAATGAGGAAGAAGCTGCTGGTGGGCCTGGGTCTCCTTATGCCGCTGCGTAGAGGCCAAGGAGACGTATGGTTTCAACTGCTGCTGCAGCTGTGGGTGATTCAGACCACCTGATGGTATCTCAGTTTGGACCAGGAGCCAGAAGTGTCCAGGGCTTTGCTGCTGCCAGCGGACTGGATTGTCTGCAAGGACCCTAGGTCCTTGCAGACAATCCAAAGGAGGCTGGAACTTCTTACTGGGTCTCTGTTGTGCTTTCCTTCTCCTGGACTTTGGCCAGAAAGATTAGGATATTCTTGGGGTTTTTTGTTTGTTTTGCCTGAGCCTGTTGGTGGTTCCAGGTTGCAATCCTCTCCTGTGCCCTGTTCAGGGTACATGGAAGATAAAAAAGCTCAGGGAACTCAAAAAGTTGTTGTTTCTCAAGTCTTGAGGATTCTTGCCAGTCTACCTTCTTCTTTTCCAACTTTCAGAGTTCTTTTATCATTGTCTATTGAATAGCTTCCAGAGTTTTTAGTTGTATTTAGAGAAACAGAGTAGGGAAAGTGAATCTACACCATCTTGTTCCAGAACCAGATGCCAAAACAGCCTATTTTTTAAATGTTTCAGACATATTTTCTTTCCTGGTTGATTTTCCAGAAAGCAGACAAAAATACTGTCAGTGGTGCTTCCTATGATCAGAACTCCACCCTCTGCTTTCTTGGAAGAGATCAATTGCATTATTCAACGTTTCTCTGCGCCTACTCTGTGTTCAGTCCACAGGATATTAATTCCTTTGGAAAATCCAAACAGGTTATCACTTCTTTCCTGGATCGAAAGTTGGTTCATAATGTAAACACTTGTCTGTAACACCGAAAACGGCTTTTCTCTGAGTTCTCCCTGTTCCTCACCCAGTGTCTTGAAGGAAGAGGTTTTCCTTTGGAGCCGAAGGCTACGACTACGTTTATCTAGAAACAGATTACCATGGAACTACTGGAGTTTTCTTAATTACAAATGTTTAGCTGCACCAGTAAAGACCTCGTATCTGTGTTTTACTTGTTTCTCATCTTGGGCCTTTGCCTGACAATATTGGATGGGCTTTTGGCCCAGTGACCTGCGGGAATGTGCAGTATTAAAACCTGGAGTTAATGTTTAGAATTTACCACAGACACAGTAGCCAGTACACTATGCCAGCGGATCGAGCTTTCCCCTCATCAAAAAAACTAAAAAATAAAAATACTGCTTTCTATACCCTCACCATAGAGATAATCTTCTGGTTTCTCTTAAGTAACCAGAGAGTAGAGAAAAAAAAAATCCAATTTGCTGAATATCTTATACCTTGAAGACACAGTTTAGGAAAAAGTACACTGGATTTAACATGATTTATACCACTCTTTTCTTGTGCCATATATTACTCTTCCCAAGATTTTGAAAACAATTATAAAATGAATTAAAATCTGTGGCAAAACTTGTGAGTTTACATGATTTTAGGCTTACATCAGTACAGTGATTCATAGTGTGGTAAATAAAAGCAGCTTTTAAAATGGAATGTCTGTCCTTAAGTGGAAATTGAATGTTCACGTGTGAAGTAACACATTTTATATTTTCTTTTCTGAATTCCCCTTATCTCCCCTGACCATCTTTAGAAATATTTTTTCAAAACATATGCCATTTTCTGGCACTACAGGAAAAGTTTACTGCTTGAGTACAGGGTTAAAAAGAAGCCAGTAAATTCACATGCTCTACCTGATATGGGCACTGCTCGCTCCAAATTTTCAAAAGACCCAGAGAAATCATGTACACACAGCTAACCAGAATATGGAAACCGCTTTTATAAATTTTTTGAAATTATTTTTAAAATCTGTGTTGAAGCACATTTAATTTCTTTTAATTTGTAAAAGAGGGGCAATTTGAGTGATTTCAAGTTACAAATGAAGGGAAGAGTCCCAGAGACATCTGTAACCTCAGCAGAAAATGCGAACATAAAAGTTTACACAAAACCTCTATTTCCCATAGACATGTGTCAAGTGAGCATTTTATGTCAATCTCCCCACAAAGTATTTGCCCTCTACACTGATAAGGCAAAAAAAGACAAAAGCAAAATAAAAATATGAAAAAAAGTGACTGTCTTTGACTACCTTCAACAAATCTAATGTTAAAGAATAAAATAATAATAATAAACAAATCAGCTCACAGAGAAAACTGCTCTTCCTCTGGTTCCTGTTGAAGTGAGGCTCCTTTTTTATTTTTTATTTTGGGAAACCTGCAAATGAAGGCTTCCTTGAAAATGGATGAATTCTGTAGAGTTTCCAGACTCAGAAGATAAACAAAGCAGTCAAATTCTCTCCCCTCCCAACCCCTACCCTGTAAATACCCTCAGGCCACAGTCTGGGCCTCCCTCTGCTCCAGTGTCTACCAGGGGGCTGGGGGCTGGGAAGGCCAGTGAGGCAAGGGTGAGGCTATGGAGAAGGGGGAAGGGAGGGGGAGAAACGGAGAGCCAGGGGAGGTGTGCTCAAGGGGTGAACTCCAGCTGCCGCCGGTTGACAAGATCACATACATGCCCGCACACACAAAATGTACACAGTG